CTGACAGTGTAAATGATTTAAAACACAATTTAATAGCTCAGAATCGCACTTACAAGCATAGATTTCATAAAAGCCAAAGTCACCAAACGGCAAACTCAAGTTCACAACTTCCGGTAAGGTTGTGCGTGATGACGTCGCGGGGAAGGCTAGCCCCGGAAGGTGTCTGTTATGACGAAACGCTTTGGGCGGAGCCTTTCCTGTGACGTCATCACGTACAACTTTAACAGAGATGGTAAAACTTTGATGCCGTTTAGTGACTATACTGAAATGTTTAAAAGTGGAAGTAAACTCGTTTTTTTTTTTTATTTTACCTACAGGTAAGCTCATCTGTAGGCAAAACTAATTTCTCCTAAACCTGCACCGTTTAGGAGATATTCTCTCTTTCCTAAAGCCGGCGCATGCACTCTGAAGGAGAACGGCATACCTGTGCCATTCCTTCAGAGTCTGGGATTCCCACACGCATGTGTGGGAGTGACGTCATTGCAGTCAGGCCTGTCAGATGGCTGCAGCTCATGAACCCTGGAGGAGGACCATGTGAAGATGGAAGCCTCTGCAGCGGTGACAGTGTGCCGCTAGAGGGCTTCGGATTAAGGCGAGTCCTTCATAATGTATGCGATGCATACTAATACATGAGATGCCCCTGGTACCTTTTTCATAGGCTTTTTTGAGTTTGGGCAAGGACACAGGGGCCCCATGATCCCCTTTTGCCCGGGGGCCCCATGAGTTGTCAGTCCGCGCCTGATTATGCTATTGCCTTGCAGGGGACTTTGGTGCCGATACAGAGGATCGAGTACTGAGTATTCCTATGGCATCAGCACCTATGGAGATTTTTAGGTACTGTACTTTGGCGCCATTCCACAGATGTATGCAATTTTAAAGCGTGGCATGTTGGATATCTATTTACTCGACGTACTCTAAAATTCATTAAAGGGTATTTTTTCCAAAAAATTCATGCAAATACCACGCATAAAAAATGACAACACCCACCATTTTATTCTCTAGGCTAGGGCCTCTGCTTAACCCCTTTGCGCCGGCCGCACACAAATGTGCGGCCACCCGGCGTCTGGGCCTAGACGCCGAGCGGCCGCACATTTGTGTCCATGTAACTAAATACATATGTGCTGAGAGCGCGCGCCCTGCGCGCTCCCAGCACACGTGTGGTACTCACGGAAAGGTCCCGGTCCGCTCTTTCGAACGGGACCTTTCCCGATCATGTGACCGCCGTGACGCGTCATCACGGCGGTCACATGATTCCTAAACCACGCCCCAACCGCCCCGCCTCCCGGCGTCTGAATCTCTTAAAGGGCCGGGAGGCATCGGCGGGAAGGGGTTAAAAAATATGTCATGTTTGGGGGCTCTAAATAATTTTCTAGCAAAAGAAATAAAGATGATTTTTACATGTACTGTTTATGATCTTTCCTCATAGCTGAGCTCCTCCATGCCTCTTATCAGTTTGGTTGTCCTTCTCTGTACTTTCTCCAGTTCCCCAATGTTCTTTTTGTGAATTGGTGCCCAAAACTGAACTGCATATTCCAGATGAGGTCTTACTAATGATTTGTACTGGGGGAAATTATATCTCTCTCTCTGGACTCTATACCTCGCTTTAGAACCCGCAGCTTGCATGCCATTATTAAGCTTGTGATCTACCAGAACTCCCAGATCCTTCTCCACCATTGACCCCCCAGATCCTTCTCCACCATTGACCCCCCCAGATCCTTCTCCACCATTGACCCCCCCAGATCCTTCTCCACCATTGACCTCCCAGATCCTTCTCCATCATTGACCTCCCAGATCCTTCTCCACCATTGATCCCCCCAGATCCTTCTCCACCATTGACCCCCCAGATCCTTCTCCACCATTGACCTCCCAGATCCTTCTCCACCATTGACCCCCCCGATCCTTCTCCACCATTGACCCCCCCAGATCCTTCTCCACCATTGACCCCCCCAGATCCTTCTCCACCATTGACCCTCCCAGATCCTTCTCCACCATTGACCCCCCCAGATCCTTCTTCACCATTGACCCCCCAGATCCTTCTCCACCATTGACCCTCCAGATCCTTCTCCACCATTGACCTCCCAGATCCTTCTGCACCATTGACCCCTCCGGATCCTTCTGCACCATTGACCCCTCCGGATCCTTCTCCACCTTTGACCTTCCAGATCCTTCTCCACCATTGACCCCCCAAATCCTTCTCCACCATTGACCCCCCAAATCCTTCACCATTGACCCCCCAGATCCTTCTCCACCATTGACCCCCCCAGATCCTTCTCCACCATTGACCCCCCAGATCCTTCTCCACCATTGACCTCCCAGATCCTTCTCCACCATTGACCCCCCCAAATCCTTCTCCGCCATTGACCCCCCAAATCCTTCTCCACCATTGACCTCCCAGATCCTTCTCCACCATTGACCCCCCAAATCCTTCTCCACCATTGACCTCCCAGATCCTTCTCCACCATTGACCCCCCAAATCCTTCTCCACCATTGACCCCCCCCCCCCAGATCCTTCTCCACCATTAAAAAAACCATTCATCATCGCCAAAACGGTATTGGTGCATCTCTAGTTAAGAAGGCTCCACCGACTGTAGAAAACTACAGGAGGGGGCGGAGACAAGACCAGTCACCCTGCACAAGGAGAGAGCAGCGATGAGCGGTCTTTAATACAGGAAGTCAAAGCCTCCCATTGGATGACTGCCCAGATGTGGCAGAAATACACAGAGTACACCGAGATTCCTGATGAACGTATTTAGACAATATTTGCTGATCCCGGAGTGCAGCTTTAACAATTCCAGCCTTTCCGCTCAGAGTTTCTATGAATCATTCTGGACGCCCCGGGGCAGCTGGGAAGGGAATTTTTAGACAAAATAGATGAGTTTCTCATAGAGATTGATGGCTGTCCTGTCATAAGAAGACAGTTATCCAACTAATGAATCTCATTTGCTAATTGCTTCTCCCTGAGCAGCGTCACGAGGTATCACAAGAGGACAAAGTTTTCCCAAACAAATCTGACGAATCGACAGAATCCAAAGTGCGGCGATTTCTCGGCATATGGCAGAGGTACACTGAGCTGGTTTATCTGTGAATTCGAGGCCGAGGTGTTTGTGGATCCACATCTGTAACATCGGGTTTATAGTCAGTGTTACCTAATACAGGTACATACTGTACACTCACATCAGTCCCCGCCCCCAAGGAGTTTACAATCTAAGGTCCCTATCTCATATACATACTAGGGCCGATATAGACGGGAGCCAAGTAGCTTCCCTAGCAGTCTGATTATGTCCATATTTCTGTGCTCAAAGCAGTACTTTTTTTGCATGGAAATATGTATTTTTTTTTATTTGTAGGCTGTAATTTTTAGGAATAACTCACTGAAATCTGTCCGAACAAGAGTCTAGTAAACATCCCGGGTATGATAAAATTTGAAACACGAAATCATAAATTATAATATAATAAATAATCATAAAAAATAATATAATAATAAATGTAATTCAATAATGTAATCAAACCAAAAACACTGAAATTTGAAATATAGCGCCAAGTTCGCACATCACTGAGCAAAGTCGCAGAATCGTTTTCAGTGTCTGATGAGGAATTTCCCCCACGAATCATTATCACTCAATTCTGCAAGTGGTTCTGATTTACTATCGCTGTTCTCTAGACGGTCTAAAACCGCTTTTGACCTAAAGGGACGCTTTTTGGACGCCATGGACGTTTCTCAGTTTCCAGGCAGAAAGAACAGTAAAAATGCAGGCAGGGCGCCGGACAAAGCACTCGGGACAAAATGTATGTGAAATGGTTTGATACAGGAATGTTATACTATGTGATTTTAGTGTATTTAGTGAATGTCACTTTTACAACTTTCAAATTTCCCGCCGTTCCATCCCCCGTACGTCCCGACATCGCAGGGAAGGAACCCAGAAGACAGATGCCGGCATCGGCCGGAGGACATTGCCAGGGACACTGCAGGGGGGACATCGCGGGAGCGCAGGACAAGGTAAGTGAAGAAGAGATCCCGGAGCAACACCGCAGTGTATTCCCGAGTGTAGCTCGGGGGGGGGGGTTACTGCTTGTGGTGCTGAAACTGTACCCCGAGCTACACTCGGGAATACCTCCAGGGGGGTTAACCTACCCGGATGTGTGGGATGAAACCCAGGGAAGGACCAGGGAATGTGGGAGAATGAGGGGGACGCACTGGCACCTCCAGCACTGAATGTATGTAGAGGCTGGGGTACTGGGGTGTGTTGGAGGGTTTACTGATATTGGATGATGGGGGATCTGTTGTCACTGGGGGGATTTATTATTACACAAGGTCTGTTGTTGCTGGTGGGGGAGACATTGTTGCTAAGTAGGTGGGGGATCTACTGTTGAGGAAGAATTCTACTGAAGCTGGCTGCTGGGAGATCAGTTGTTTCTGGAAGGGATCTATTGGTGTTGGTGTGGATCTATTGTTGCAGGGGTGTATATCTGCAGGGGGATCTATTGTTTCTGGCAGGGATCTATTGGTGTTGGGGTGGTACTATTGTTGCAGAGGTATATTTCTGCTGGGGGATCTATTGTTTGTGGCAGGGATCTATTGGTGTTGGTGGATATATTGTTGCAGGGGTATTTCTGCTGGGAGATCTATTGTTTCTGTCAGGGATCTATTGGTGTTGGGATGGATCTATTGTTGCATGGGTATATTTCTGCTGGGAGATCTTTTGTTTCTGGCAGGGATCTACTTGTTTTGTTGTGGATCTATTGTTGCAGGGGGTATATTTCTGCTGGTGGATCTATTGTTTATGGCAGAGATCTATTGGTTTTAGGATGGATCTATCGCTGCAGGGGTATATTTCTGCTGGGAGATCTATCGTTTCTGGCAGGAATCTATTGGTGTTGGTTGGATCTGTTGTTGCAGGGGTATATTTCTGCTCGTAGATCTATTGTTTATGGCAGGGATCTATTGGTGTTGTGTGAATCTATTGTTGGGTGGAGCATTCTTCCCACTGACCTCCAATGTAAGGAACATTCTTCCCACTGATCACCAATGTAAGGAGCATTCTTCCCACTGACCACCAATGTAAGGAGCATTCTTCCCACTGATCACCAATGTAAGGAGCATTCTTCCCACTGACCACCAATGTAAGGGACATTCTTCCCACTGATCACCAATGTAAGGAGCATTCTTCCCACTGATCACCAATGTAAGGGGACATTCTTCCCACTGATCACCAATGTAAGGGACATTCTTTCTTCCACTGTTCACCAATGTAAAGAACATTCTTCCCACTGATCACCAATGTAAGGGACATTCTTCCCACTGACCACCAATGTAAGGAGCATTCTTCCCACTGACCTCCAATGCAAGGAGCATTCTTCCCACTGACCACCAATGTAAGAAGCATTCTTCTCACTGATCACCAATGTTAGGGACATTCTTCCCACTGACCACCAATGTAAGGGACATTCTTCCCACTGACCACCAATGTAAGGAGCATTCTTCCCACTGACCTCCAATGCAAGGAACATTCTTCCCACTGACCACCAATGTAAGGAGCATTCTTCTCACTGATCACTTCCAATGTAAAGAACATTCTTCCCACTGATCACCAACGTAAGGAGCATTCTTCCCTGATCACCAATATAAGGAACATTCTTCCACTGATCCCCAATGTAAGGAGCATTCTTCCCACTGACCACCAATGTAAGGACATTCTTCCCACTGATCCCCAATGTAAGGAGCATTCTTCCCACTGACCCACCAATGTAAGGAGCAATGTAAGGAGCGTTCTTCCCACTGACCACCAATGTAAGGGACATTCTTCCCACTGATCCCCAATGTAAGGAGCATTCTTCCCACTGACCACCAATGTAAGGAGCATTCTTCCCACTGATCACCAATGTAAGGGACATTCTTCCTACTGATCACCAATGTAAGGAGCATTCTTCCCACTGACCACCAATGTAAGGGACATTCTTCCCACTGATCACCAATGTAAGGGGCATTCTTCCCACTGATCACCAATGTAAGGGGCATTCTTCCCACTGATCACCAATGTAAGGAACATTCTTCCCACTGACCACCAATGTAAGGGACATTCTTCCCACTGACCACCAATGTAAGGAGCATTCTTCCCACTGATCACCAATGTAAGGGACATTCTTCCCACTGACCACCAATGGAAGGAACATTCTTCCCACTGATCACCAATGGAAGGAACATTCTTCCCACTGACCACCAATGTAAGGAACATTCTTCCCACTGATCACCAATGTAAGGGACATTCTTCCCACTGATCACCAATGTAAGGAACATTCTTCCCACTGACCAACAACGTAAGGAGCATTCTTCCCACTGACCACCAATGTAAGGGACATTCTTCCCACTGACACCAATGTAAGGGACATTCTTCCCACTGATCACCAATGGGGGTGACCTGTCATTAAACAGAAAAGATCAAAAATTGCCTCACGAAAATATTTTTTTAGGGAAATGTTTGCTGTAGGTTATGTCATGATTTCATACAATTTTTTGGATCATGTCACATTTTTATAATTCAGTATTAAAGCCATTAATTAATAATATTATTCATTTTATGATCTCATCTTATTTTTGTAAACCCTTGGTTCCCAAATTGAGGGAAGAACCCCACTACAAAGGTTTTTTTTTTTTTTTTTTTTACCACCCCAGAATTAAACTTTAGCCTCCCAAGCTTCTAAAGCTAATGCTAATTTTTTTCCTTTAACAAGTCCTAAATTCTCGATCTGTAGTCTGAGCTGGAGCTCATTTGGCCTTTACCAAAGAAGCTCGGTCATGCCATTGATCTGAATAAAGCTGGCCATACACTAGTGGAAATTTGTTCAAAATTGGTAATGGATTCTAATCAACGTTTGTTTTTGACCTGATGAGAAAATTCACAATTCAAACATTTTATTTTTCCAACAAATATTTACAACAGTATGTGGTTTTTGTTTAGGAAACTCTACTCATTCCAAAATTGAATATAAAAAGCAGACAAATTATTGATGTACTTTCGCAAAGTCATTGGATGTACCAAGAATTTTTGTATGTGGTTTTGTACAAATGTTCCTTGAAAAATTTTAGGCTGGCCATAGATGGATAGAATTTTGAACAAAAATTCTTAGGAAATGTCTCAGAACATTCTCAGAACATTTGAGAAGATTTCATTTGCTGTTAACAATTGATTTTGGAATGAATGGACTTTACCAAATGATACATTTAGAAATTCGTCCCTTCGAGAAAAAATGTTAAATCCTGCTCCTTCGAATTTTCGAAAACAAATGTCGATTTGCCCCCACCAATGATTACAAAAATGAACAAACTTAGAGCATTCTTTCCCTACGTATTTTCATACCAAGCTCTATCTATGTATCTACAGTGGGGATTGAAAGTTTGGGCACCCAAGCTAAAAATTTGTATTAATGTGCATAAAGAAGCCAAGGAAAGATGAAAAAATCTCCAAAAGGCATCAAATTACACATTAGACATTCTTATAATATGTCAACAAAAGTTAGATTTTATTTCCATCATTTACACTTTCAAAATAATAGAAAAAAAAAAAAAAAGGCGTCTGCAAAAGTTTGGGCACCCTGCAGAATTTATAGCATGCACTGCCCCCTTTGCAAAGCTGAGACCTGCCAGTGTCATGGATTGTTCTCAATCATCATCTGGGAAGACCAGGTGATGTCAATCTCAAAGGTTTTAAATGCCCAGACTCATCTGACCTTGCCCCAACAATCAGCACCATGGGTTCTTCTAAGCAGTTGTCTAGAAAACTGAAACTGAAAATAGTTGAGGCTCACAAAGCTGGAGAAGGCTATAAGAAGATAGCAAAGCGTTTTCAGGTGTCAATATCCTCTGTTCGGAATGTAATTAAGAAATGGCAGTCATCAGGAACAGTGGAAGTTAAAGCAAGATCTGGAAGACCAAGAAAAATATCAGACAGAACAGCTCGCAGGATTGTGAGAAAAACAATTCAAAACCCACGTTTGACTGCACGGTCCCTCCAGAAAGATCTGGCAGACACTGGAGTTGTGGTACACTATTCCACTATAAAGAGATACTTGTACAAATATGGTCTTCATGGAAGAGTCATCAGAAGAAAACCTCTTCTACGTCCTCACCACAAAAAAATCATCGTTTGAACTTTGCAAATGAACATATAGACAAGCCTGATGCATTTTGGAAACAAGTTCTGTGGACTGATGAGGTTAAAATTGAACTTTTTGGCCGGAATGAGCAAAGGTACGTTTGGAGAAGAAGGGGCACAGAATTTAATGAAAAGAACCTCTGTCCAACTGTTAAGCATGGGGTTGGATCAATCATGCTTTGGGGTTGTGTTGCAGCCAGTGGCACAGGGAACATCTCACGAGTAGAAGGAAAAATGGATTCAATAAAATTTCAGCAAATTTTGGATGGTAACTTGATGCCATCTCTGAAAAAGCTGAAGTTAAAGAGAGGGTGGCTTCTACAAATGGATAATGATCCTAAACACACCTCGAAATCCACGGGGGATTACATCAAGAGGCGTAAACTGAAGGTTTTGCCATGGCCTTCACAATCTCCTGACCTCAACATAATTGAAAATCTATGGATAGACCTTAAAAGAGCAGTGCGTGACAGACAGCCCAGAAATCTCAAAGAACTTGAAGACTTTTGTAAGGAAGAATGGGCAAAGATACCTCAAAGAAGAATTGAAAGACTCTTGGCTGGCTACAAAAAGCGTTTACAAGCTGTGATACTTGCCAAAAGGGGGCAGTACAAGATATTAACTCTGCAGGGTGCCCAAACTTTTGCAGACGCCATTTTTTTGTTTTCTGTTATTTTGAAAGTGTAAATGATGGAAATAAAATCTAACTTTTGTTGACATATTATAAGAATGTCTAATCTGTAATTTGATGCCTTTTGTAGATTTTTCCATCTTTCCTTGGCTTCTTTATGCACATTAATACAAATTTTTAGCTGGGGTGCCCAAACTTTCGATCCCCACTGTACGTCTATCTATCTATGGTCAGCTTAACACTTCCTTCACTTCCGCCGGCCTCATCAAAGGTCTCTGTCCAGAACGCAATGGTTCTTCTTGGTTTGATAAAGCTCATTAGTGATTTCCCTTGTCTTCGGTTTTGCTTTTCTTGCTTTTTTTTTTTTTTTTGCCAATTCGCTTTTAATGTTTGTTTGCGCCCACCGGTGGGAACGCAGCCTTTTGATCTGTGCAGGTAGATGGGATTCTAACAGTCTTTATTTCAAAAGCCGATGAAGAAATAAATAAATTACTTCACCTGTATGACTTGAGCAGGAGTGCGAGTTTTCTATTATTTATCACAGTTATAGCCCGTATGTCTCCTGGGACGGATGACTCACCCGTATCAATCACAGCATATTACAGGCATTATTCTGATGAAGATACAATGGAGCTCAGCTTGGTGAACCTCTCCTAGTCATCTGTCCTTCACTATCTGCCTCATGCTGGTATTTCTTGTGTGAGATAAGCTTTACATGTGTCACTTTCAGGACGCCACCTTTGCTTCGGCACGCCGAGATACTGGCGACGCTTTCAACGTGTGATAATCCAGCAGGGCCACTTTAAGATGTCTGTAGACCACCACGGCAAGATTTAAAGGGGTGCTGCCGTTTATTTAAAGCATGGAATATTAAAGGATATCTAAATCAAACAATAAAAATGAAATATATTTCAGCTTATTGGTCCTTAGATGGGGTGGCTGCATTAGGTTTCTTTTTCAGGGTAAATACATTTTCTGCAAGCACAGACAATACATGTTAAAGATACATCAATGCAGCGCTAGTAATAGTAAGGAATAAGAAATGTATAAATGATCCAAAAGTGACAGTCCATGCAGGTCTAGGTGAAGTTAGCATCAATAAAGATCCAGTGTCGGTGCTCCCAAAATAATGTGGTAGGAATACGCACTCACCAGATGCGTAATGTTAATACGCATTAAACAAATCAGTAGAGGTCCCCTCTAGGAGTTGGATGTGATCCTGGTCAAGGATAATCCTCCCTCTGCATACAGGTGGTGCTGTTGGAGCTCTCAGATGGTAATGGTTCCAGTCAGCCAGAGGCCCCTTTAAGGGGTGGGTGGCTATGGAAGCCTATGTGTCAGGAACTCCCCTCTCTGGATGCTTGTAATGTGCTGGATCCGAATGGCTCTAAAAATCAATCACTCCAAATAGGAAGCCAAAAATAGTGCCCATAGTGTAGTATGTAAATAAGCAGTAATTTATTAAATATTCATAGTTAAAACACAATCTGGGCAAGTGTCATCATAAAGGACAAAAAGTAATGCAGTGTGGACTGACCGTCCAGATACCGAGATGGTTGCCGGGCCTCCACGTGGCTCCGGTGGCGTTACATCGCGACGTACTGGATTTCTTGTTAACCCTACCAGAAATCCAGTGTCCTTGTCACCAGGGCTGAGGCTTAGAGAAGGGTGCTGGGCAGGAGGGGCATCTGCCCTGGGCACAGTGTTTTTATGTGTTGGGGTGGGGGATAGCCAATTTGTGGCTATATAGGGAACGGTGTTGGGCAGGAGGGGCATCTGCCCTGGGCACAGTGTTTTTATGTGTTGGGGTGGGGGATAGCCAATTTCTGGCTTTATAGGGAACGGTGTTGGGCAGGAGGGGCATCTGCCCTGGGCACAGTGTTTTTTATGTGTTGGGGTGGGGGATAGCCAGTTTGTGGCTTTATAGGGAACGGTGTTGGGCAGGAGGGGCATCTGCCCTGGGCACAGTGTTTTTATCTGTTGGGGTGGGGGATAGCCAGTTTGTGGCTTTATATTATCTACGTGTAAACCCTAAGCATCAGGACTCGGGGCATTAAAATGGACTGACAGCATCAGGAGCCAGGAAGGCTCCAGTTGAGGGTTTCTTAACCAGGGTTCCCAGGAACTCTAGGGTTCCTTGAGCAATAAGCGATTTCTGCTTCTCAGATGAGTTACCACTGACACCAATGATCTTTTTAGCTGTAAAAAGCATTATTCTCACTGAACATCACACTAATGTACTGTGAACTGTAAATATAATAATTACTACTAGAGGTTCCCTGGAGCCAAAAAGTTACTTCAGGTGTTCCTCCATGTTAACAAGGTTGAGAGAGGCTGGTCTAATGTGTGCAAGTGGTCA